AAATCTTAAAAAGTCTAAATTAAATACATCGAAATTTTTAAAATCTCAACAAATCTTTAAAAATTTCAAATGGATACACCCCGTAAGACTTCTAAGTATAGATATATGTTTTATTCGACTTACCATGAATTTAAGAAATTTATATTTCAATTTGACTAGCAAAAAACATAGGGAAATTCTTTTGAGTTTTAATTGCAATCAGATAAAAAGTTGATGACTTTATTTATTAGATTTTCTATATTTTTTTAAATTTTTTACATTACAAAAGCCTAAAAAATATGGTGATTATCTTTTCCTAATTAGCCTCTGTCAAACGACCCACCACATCATATTAAGCCGTCGGCATACAAACCCACCACATCATATTAAGCCGTCGGCATACAAAAGCGTGGTTGTCGAGCGAAGTTGCGTTCCAAATTGAGACAAAATGAAATTTGTTTATAATTAGTTAAAAATTTGGATTAAATTGTCAAAATGCAAACGATTAAATTTGGATTACAATACGACCTAGAATATTTAAATAAATCCTCATTCCTTTGAGTATAGCGTGTGTCTGATATATATCTATATCTTTATATATATAATAAGAATTACCATTTACCAAAAATAGTAGCAAAAAAATAGGTCATAATTTAATGCAGCTCGTTAATAGTAAGTTTTATGATTTTCCTTATCTTTTTCTTTAAAAAATCATACAACATTAAATGTTACCTTAAATTTCGAGCTTTAGTTCATTTTATTATTTAAAATATCTGGCTAAGATTTATTAAGTGTGCATGTTTTTTTATTTATTTATTTTTAGAAACAACGAACAACATTAAAATCTTAATCTCTATATTTATGAAATCTCAATTCAAAATATAACAAAGGTTTTAAAATCTCGGTCTTTATATTTGTGCATTTTAAAAAAAATATTGAACGTTAAAAATATTATTTAAATTGCATAATCAATCAATTAATTTAATTTTTTTGAAAATTACTATGTTTATTTTTTTTATTAATATGCATAAAGTAGAAATAATTAATCTTTGGGTCTTTCCTCTCCTTAAAGTCGAGCTCGACGCGAGAGGTTATAACATATGCTCGACTAAATGGAGAGGCATTTTTTATTAATATGCATAAAGTAAAAACAATTAGTTCATATTTAGATATATAATTTATAATCTTAATATACTATCATTTGATGTAGACATTTATTATATGAATCATAAAATATTTTTATATCATAAAATTAAATATACTTAAAAAAAATTAAGAAAATTTCTTTGGATCATTCGGGTGATTGATTTAGGGTAAAACCCGTGCTGAGTACTCGTGCTGAGTGTTGTAATACAGATTGTCAATATGTAAGATCGATGTGTAAGATAGATATAGACAAAGAGAGAAAGCAATAGAAGATAATAAGAGAGAAGAGATACGCCGTTAAAAACCCTCATTTTATTCATTCACTTGAGCCCTATGTATAAGGGAATACAATGTACATAACTAAAGACCTAATAGGCTTCTGGCCCATACCTACAAAGCTTATATCTAGGTAATGCCCACAAATTAATATTTACAACAGTTGGTTAGTTTTTGCTTAATTTTTGCATTTACAATCATATCGTGTTTAATTTTTCTTTGTTAGTGGACAATAAAATCTTAAAAGTTACTAGACAAAATTATCACTTACTATGTATATTTTGCAATTTTAACTATATTAAAGAGATTTCGAACAAATAAGATTAACTTAAAAGAATGATTATTCGTGAATGATAAGTTGTAATGGTGGTAGATATCCTTTTATACAATTTTTTATTGACAAAAGTAATAAGATAATTATGGATTGTATTTGGATAGATTTTAAATACCATGATTTTTGGGATGCAACAACAAAATATGCAATCACATGTATATATCTTATCACGTTAAAGTATATCCATCCCTAAAAAAAGGGAAATATATAATGCCTTAATTAACGGAATTTGTGTATTTTCGTAACAGATTTGCTTAATTAATGGGATCTGATACTTAATTAACGGGAATACCAATTACATAATCCTATTCACGATTTTTTTTTCAAAATTTGATTGAGATTACATAAATAGAAAGTCAAAAGTCAACTCAATTTATTTTAAGTTTCTAAAAATGATTTTTACACCAACCTTTTTAGATATATATAGATAAGATATTCAATATATATAATTTTTTAATTCTCATTGTATCTTCTTTGTTTCAAGTATTTTTTTTTTTCTTTTAATCTATACTATTATAAAAGAGCCAATAAAAACTCTTTTAATGATACTAACTTCAAATCCCATTTTCAAACCATCGTCCCTTGCAACTATCACTATGAAAGTACTCCTAAATATTATTGAGCACAAGGAAATAATATAATTTAAATAGATATCAGTCTCTTCTAGAAAAAATATTTAGGTTCATGTGAAGTAGAGTAATATACATTCAGATAAAGCTTATTGTAACCCCAACCAATCACTTGGTAACCACCACCGTGAAGACGGCCGGCCCGTTATCTTCTAGAAAATATATTTAGGTTCATGTGAAGTAAAGTAATATACATTCAGATAAAGCTTATTGTAACCCCAACCAAAACCAATCACTTGGTAACCACCACCCTGAAGACGGCCGGTCCATTTAATATCTGCTGCTATTTATCTGTCTCGGTCACACATTAGTATGACTAAGAAGCACGGCTGTTACAACAATGGCATTAAAATAAATCATTCCACGCGTGTGGTCTTCATCTCCATGAGGTTGGACCGTGTCGTGGCATCCGATTACTGTGCATACATATTCAAATTGCCCATTCCTGGAGTTGAATTGTCCTAAAAATGGACTCTCGGTAGAGCACGGCTATTACAGCATGGGTTAATACTACAACTATGCCATTACAAAGATGACAAAGTAAGGATATTTTAGGCATTATATATTTTTACAGATTCATTGGCTCTATTATAAAAAAAAAAAAAAAAAACTTTATTCTCAGCCTCTATAGATAAATACCGACAAAAGTTATATTCTTCTCATCACAAACATAGAGGATATAAGGTTTCTTTCTTCTATTCCATAACATATTTGAGTAAGAGAGGTTAGCAATTATTTTGAGAGCGCCAAATGACTAAATTAAGTTAAAAAAGAAGAAGAAAATCCAAAAGAAAAACAAAACATACCATTGAGATTCTATTAAATCAACCTAACAAATTCTAAAAGAAGCAGTCAAGCAGAACATTCCATTGAGATAGATAATGACACATTAATATATGGCAATAATGACAAACTAATTTGTGTAAGTAATAAAAATAAGAGTGTCTGATCCTATGTAAGATTTAACAAAATTCAACTCATTACCTTTTATATAAACACAATCATAAAAAAAATCCACATCCTATAGGAAATGAAACTATACAAGAAATGTAAGGCCATTTGCAATCGTTTACTCCCCAGTTGATCAAACTAAAAAGCCAAACATATCTGATCAGTCACTACCAGACAATGACCAAAAAGGAAATTAGCAGCAAACTTAAATCATTAATCTCCCACAAAAGCCAGAGTTCAGATATAGTCTCGAAAGTCATCTTCGGGATTTTTTTGGGCAGGAAATTAGATATACACACAAACATGGGTGGGATTGTGTAATTATATAAACTACTATTGTAACATAAAAGGGTGTAATTATCTTCCCTTCTCTTCCCTCTTTCATCAAATTCAGGTTGGTGACAATTTATCAAATATGAAATCTAACAGCAACAGATAAATTATAGAAGCAGCAAAAGTGAAAGATAGTAAATAAAATCAACACACAATTAAGTACCCTAACACCATAGAAACGTGAGCATACCGGAATTTTTTGGGGGCTGACCTTATTTGATCCCTGGCCGATTTTCTTGACTTGATATAATTTTTTTTATTTATTTATTTGAATAAACGAAGGATCTAAGTACCTAATCAAACATAAATACATAACTTAGCCAACAAATTACAAACAGATCCATTATCTGTGCCAAAAGAAGGAAAAAAAAATATTCCCTGTAGATTCAACATCTAACAGTGTTGTAAGAAATCAGAATCCTCAAGACATTAAGAAGCTACAATCAAGAAAACCGACCACATCCAAATATACAAAGAAAATTCGTATATAAACTTACCAGTTAAATTCTTTAAATTCCCAAAATAGTGATTGGTCAGAAACTAAATAGTTCAACACTTCAACTCGCGTGGAGAGGATATTCGATTGATCGACGGAGGACACGTTGGTGGGGCTGGGCTGGAGGACGCGTTGGCGGGACTGGGCTGGGCTTATTTGACCCTGTCCGATTTTTTCTTCGATCCTGTCCGATTTTGTTTTCATAGAGAGAAGGACGTAGGTAAATCAATAAGCAGTTGGTTTAGGAATGTATTATTAATATTAAATTGTAAAATTAATTTGATAAAGTAAGGTTAATTTAGGCAAAACATAATTTTACAGATTCATTGGCTCTTTTAGAATAGTAGAGAAGAGATAGAGATTAAAGAGATTTCGAACAAATAAGATTAACTTAAAAGAATGATTATTCATCAGATTTTTTATGTACTCATTTTTATTATGGCTTTCAAATAGTATCATTATTTAAAAATTATATTTAAATTTTTAATACATTTGACACAATTCATTATACAATGTAGTTTTTTGTTTGATAATTTAAAAATAATAATCCATATAATAATATACCATATAAGAATAAAGATAAAATATAATTTAAAACAATATATAGATATTTGAATTGTACATCACGTGCTTTCTACTTGCAGTTTACTAATTCCCATTTTTTTTTTTAAAAAAAAAAAGGGAAGGAAAGAAGTATAACATTGATTTATGGGCACATGCACCCAAAGGGTATGGTTATATGGAGTAAGAATAAAAAATGCCCAACTTGTTCTCATCAGTCATCAGAAAGAAAAGTAAATAAAATATTGTTCAAGTGGTTCTTATTAACTGGTCTCCACTCCAGTTGACTAATACTGTAATACATGTCGATAATGCATATAAATAAAATCAGTACAGGCTGGCATAATAGTTAGGGCCTGCCAAATATATAGTTAATCTTGTGCTCTCATTCATATTGATAATAGTTATTGAAATTATCGATAGAGATGGCGTATGGTGCGGTGAGTTTCCTGCTGGAAAACGTGCCGCTGCTGCTGACGTCACATGCCGATCTTCTCTCAGGCTCCGACACGGAATACGAGCTCTGGCTGCTGACGAGCGATCTCATCTCTTTAGAGACTTTGCTCGAGCCCGAGTCAACAAGGTCGAATAAAGCCACACAACTCAGAGAAGTTGAAAGGCAAATCAAGAAAGTTGTGTATGCCATTGAGGACACAATTGACGCTTGTGTGACTCGTCTGGCCGCGGCAGCTGCAGACTGGAAAAATATGTCCGGTTGCAGCAGACGAGATCTCGTCGGCCCTGCTGACCTTGCTGACCTGGCACGGCATGTCAGGTCCCTTAGGAAAGATGAGTTGAAACCTGCCCTGGACAGGCTCAGAGGGTCGGGCATATCTGATGAGTCGAGACAGAGACGAGGAAAGCAGGACGAGCCGAGGCTGAAAAAGGTATCCGAACCACTGTTTTGGTTTTATTTTCTTTTTTTTTTTTTTGGTGACATTGGGTCCTTGGTTATGGTCAAATTCATTACATATAAATTCTTTTACATAAACACACAATGTATGAATAAATAAAAATTAAAACTCTGGACATTTAGATGTTTGCGGATTGAGTTGGCACGGCTACCTATACGGAATGCTACATTCCTACGAGTTGTGTGAGGAAATAAATACGCGACTCATTGTGTGCCTTTGTCCTTTGTTTGCACAAGAAAATGATTTCAATCAAAAATTAGCACAATGCGCTGTTCGGCAAATACTACTATTCTTTATGTCAATAACAAGTATATCCTTAAGGAAATAATCCATATTATTTGTCTAAGTCAATGTCGTTGGTCCGCAATGGCTTTACTCTCTTTGGAGATGAAGAGAGTTTCTCTCAACATCGCTCATTCTATGTTTGTAGAAGAAAAAAGTAGGCCCAACTTATCACTTGTGTTGTCACAATGTTGAAAATACGATATGGTCTTGAAAAGGAATAAAACAACTTGAACATGAGGACTATGAAAGGTAGCAAAATGAAGTGATGAGGACAATGAAGTGTAGCAAACAGCTTGTGTTCTGAACATTAATTCTTTCATTTTTCCTTTCATTGGTTGAGAGTTAATTTCTGAAGAGAGCATACACTGTAACTTGTGTGCGCAGGCACCATCAATGATGGGAGACAGCATGATAGATCTGGAAGATGAGGAAATAGAATTAATCAAAACTCTGATCCAGCGACCATATCCTGATAAGATTGGCATCACCCCTCTCATCGGCATCGCTGGACTCGGGAAAACGACCCTTGCTTGGAAGGTTTACAACAATGAGGAAATCCAGCGAGAGTTCCCCACCCGAATCTGGGCCTCTGTCTCTCGAGAGTTCAACCCGAGAACCATCTTTCTCGGCATCCTCCATGAATTCACGAGCAAGGACATGTCAGCCGAGACAACCTCTGACCTGGCAAAAGCTATTCGTGCCTCTCTACAAAAGAGGAGGTTCCTTTTGGTCCTGGACGATGTATGGACTGCCAAGGCATTGTCTACCATCAGGTCTGCCTTGCCAGAGGACAACGAGAGGGGCCGAGTCCTTGTCACTACCCGCAGTCACAAAATCTTCAACCAGATCGAATATTATGATTCCCCCCAGAGGCTGCGTTTCTTGACGAATGACGAAGGTTGGCGACTCCTTCAGTTCAAAGTATTCAGGAAGGACGGGCAGTGTCCTCCGCAGCTGCAAGGGCTGGGAAGACATATAAGCGAACGATGCCGAGGAATACCGATGCTGCTCTTGATGATAGCAGGGATTCTTATGGACTACGTCTCGAAAGAAGAAACAAGCGTTGCCATCGTGAAGTCGTGGATAGAGCTATCCCAAAGCCTAGACGAGTACACTCGTGGTGGATCGGATGTTTTCAGGAGTGTTTTGGAATTGAGTTATGATAGAATGTGTGACGAGTTGAGGGACTGCTTTCTGTATTTGGGGGTGTTCCCGGAGGATTATGAGATCCCGGCTTGGACATTGACCCGGCTATGGATTTCCGAGGGGTTCGTTCGACCAAGGCAGGGACAGAGCTTGGAGGAGAGAGCACACGAGAATCTAATAGATCTCATCGACCGCAACTTGGTCATCATTGATAAACTTAAAAGCAACGGTGACGTCAAGACGTGCCGGATTCATGACACAGTGCACGACTTCTGTAAAGTGGAGTCCGAGGGGAAAGAGCATCTCTTCCAAGTGTTGACGAAAAATGGCGATGGAACTTTCATCAAACCTTCTCAGCACCGCCGCATTTGCATTCATTCCAATGTCCTGGAATTCTTCTCTCCAGAGCCGTACGCCCCAGCCACTCGTTCTTTCCTTTCTTTCTCCGCAGAAGAAATCTCCTTGCCGACAGAGGCCATCCCAAAAATCCCGGGGGCCTTCGAGTTGGCGAGGGTTTTACATGTGAAGCCCCTCGTGTTCAGAATATTCCCACTCGGGCTGACTCAACTCGTGCTTCTCAAGTACGTGGTCCTCTCTAGTGACTTCAAAGTCCTTCCGGAAGCCGTTTCCAGGCTAAGCAACTTGCTGACTCTCGTAATCCATACATCGTCTCGTACTTTGGCAATCAAAGCCGATATTTGGAGGTCGATGGTCCAGCTGAGAGACTTGAGGACAAACGCGTCAATTACTTTGCACAAAAAACCAGCAGCTGGCGAAAACCGAGGTGGCCAGCATCTTCAGACGCTGGCCAACATATCACCCGGAGATTGCACCCTCGACTTGTTTGAGCGGGCACATCACCTCAAGAAATTAGGCATTCGGGGGATACTTGCCACGATGAATTTCGACAACTTAAGAGTACTAAATGAGCTTGAGAATTTGAAGCTGCTGAATGATGACATCCATGATATCATGACCCCACTCAGACTTCCTCCTCCAGATAAGTTCCCCCCGAAACTAAGGAGCTTGACACTATCTGCCACTTTTCTGAGTTGGGAGCAGATGTCTGTCTTAGGAATGCTGGAGACTCTTGAGGTGCTCAAGCTGAAAGACAATGCGTTCAGGGGTCGGTGCTGGGAGGTGGGCACAGGTGGTTTTCGTAGACTTGAAGTGCTGCACATTGGGTACACGAACATAGTTTCTTGGGAAGCTTCGGATCACGACTTTCCTAAGCTTAAATGCCTATTGGTTAGAAATTGTGAGGAACTTGAATCGCTGCCCCAAGTGCTTGCAGATGTACCATGTCTCGAGACAATGGTCTTGCATCGTCTGAGTAAATCGGCTGTGGCTTCAGCTAGAAAAATCCAGCAGCAAATATTGCAAAACAGAGGGGACTGTGGAGGAGGAGGCAGGGGGATTAAGCTCTCGATATTTCCTCCTTATGAACGACATGTTAAATTATGATTTCTTTTGTTTATGGTCTTGCATGTTTTTTTGGGTTTGTTAGATTGATTTGTTTGCCGAATTTTGATTTATTGTTGCTGTTGTTGTGGTCCGTAAAATAGGAAGTTACGAGGATTAGAAATGAATCAAGATGATGCTTGTGTTGTATTCAATGACCGAGCAAAAGTTTCGTTAAAGGTGACTCGAGCTTTTGGGGTCGGTTTTCTCAAACAGGTGTGTATATGTGAGTATGTATGTTCTTTTGAAGTATATTCTTAGTGGTGTTAGATATTTGCTCTTTCACCCCGATAAAGTATAATATGGTTCTGATATGGCCAACGTGTCCTTCTAGAAGGTTTTCAGAAATGTATGTCGAGTTGCTTTTGTGGTTATGCATAAAACCTTTTTCAGGCCAAACACTGGGAATGATTGTGGTTTCATAGAATCGATATTGCCTATTTGTTGTTTTACTTGCCTTGTTGATGTCTTTTTGGGAATTGAATAGCCATCCGTTATGCTCAAAAGTGGACATGTGGATATTTAAGCTGAACCAGAAACGCAGCCAATTAGAAACTCTTATGTGGATCACATTTCTCTCTCTCTCTCTCTCAAATTATTGTTCAAATGTTTGTGGAATTTTTTTTTCATTTGTACTGAGAGAGTACATTTCCTTGTTTTCAGTAGAAACTATTATTTTTGTCCTAAGGTAAGTTTTTTTTGGGTTGTGTTGCCCAAGTAGAACAATGCCCTTCTAGAGGCGTTCAGCATCGACTTCATTGGGAGCTCCCCATACCTAAACTACCTGCCCTCACTTTACCACCACAAGTTGGGACCAAGAGACCATTCTCTAATTCTGTCTTCTGATGGGCTTTATCAGTACTTCACAAATGAAGAGGATGTGTCTGAAGTCGAGCTCTTCATTTCTTGGTCTCCAGAAGGTCACCCCGCCCTGGTTGAGGCATTGCTTTTCCGTGCGACCAAAAGGGCTGGGTTGCAAGGTCGCAAACTACACCTGATGAGGAAATGAAAGATAACCAAACAATTGCTCCACACATCCCTATTGATCTGCAAGTGGATGAAAACCCAAATCATAAAAAAGGACCAACGGCTGAAAGAAGCGATCCATCAACAAAATAATTGAAGACGAAAAACTGAAGCAACAGTAATTCGCATTAGTTTCATATTTAGTTAATTGTCTATTTTATAGACAATTTTTCTTTGCATTGTAAGTTATCTTTGGAATATTTTTGCATTGGTAACTTCATATAACTTATGTCAATATATTCAAATACCCACTAAATATAACGCAGTACAAAATGACAAGAATAAAAATATAAAAAGTATTGCAAATGATATTGTGCACAGCTATGCAACTTGGAACAACACGAACTTCATTATCCAAAAGAAAAAACCACAAAGCAGACCAATTTTCTCACGTGCATTGTACGTGCACTTTACTAGTAATAATAAAGAAACACAAACTATATTATACATGAAGATTGAAGCATGAAAAATAAAAAAACAGAAAATATAGACTGTACAAGAAGTTGAAATTTTGCAATAGTATAAAAATACTTGTGNAAAAAAAAAAAAAAAAAAAATTACCAAACAAGGATACAAAGTACAAAATATGTCTAAAACCAAATAACTCTCTTCTAGATCTTGTACAGTACTTGTTTAAACAATGAGAAAAATACACCAAGTAGGACAAGAACTAGCTAAAGATTTCTCAAAACAATAGAAGTGTTAAACATCACGCTTCCTGCAAAAAATGGTTTTGTGAAATCAATGGCAAACGATACACTCTTCATATACATTCTTGTTTCTTTCTGCTGGAACTAATTCTTCAGTTTCTTTGGCATTAAACAAGTCCACTCCAAGTAATTATTTGACAAAGCTGATGTTGGAAGGTAGGAAAAATTCAAGCCTGGAAAGAGGAATAACGTGGCCTGCTGCTCTTCTCCTTCCAAGACGACTCGACCACAACTTGAAAGTCATCATTCGACATGTCTTGCTGCATCTCCTTCACTCTCATGGCCGACCCCACGAACGACGGGCTGCAGTCAACTACCTCCACCACCTGCAAATATATGATGTAGTCAATGCCCTCAGGAATCTCCCTCAGCCTGTAGCAGTGCCTAACGATCAGGCGCTCGAGCCTCTTCAGAATCAGGCCACCGCCCGACCAATCCTCCAAGTCCAAGTCCTCCAGCTGCAGAAACCTTAGATCCCTAAACTCGTCCTCCTCAACTTCCCAAACGGGCCCTTCAAACGCGTAGCATCCCAATTTAAGCACTTGGAGCCTCGGCAGCTTGCCGATTATCCTCATGTCCTCCCATGGGAATCGGCATCCGCTCAGCGTCAGTTTCTTTAACGCGCCTGGGAAGTTTGAGACAGAGTCAGGCCGCTCGACTGCCATCGAACGGCGACTCGGGTTCACGACCGCGCATTTGAACGACTCCAGCCGGTCGAGAATCGCCAGATGGTCGAAAACGCGCGAGGGATCAGAAGCGTGATCGTGCTCCGACACCTCAATGCAAACTCCTAATTTCTTCAGGTTCGGAGTTCCTCTCAGCACGTCCTCACCACAACTATGGCTCGTCACATTCGAAAGAGTCAATAGGTCCATGAGGACCGCGCCATGTGGATGTGGAAGGTCGCCGCCCTCTACCACGAGATGCCTCAAGCGTCTCATGTTCCACATCTGAAAATACGACGGGCCAGCTCCAGAGGCTTTGATCCTTGTATGGCGACGCATAATCAGGACTTGGAGGTTTCGTAGCTCGGACAATGAAGGTGGGATTTCGCTGCACGTGAGCGCAAGGTATCGTAACTGGACTAATGTTAGTATTTCCGTGGGGAACTCGTAGAAGCGTATGGAGAGCACGTCAAGTACCCTGAGCAAACCGAAATCCGAGCAAACGGCTAAAGGATACGGATGGTCCCGACCACTGCAGAGAAAAGAGCGGGCTTTCGAGACCGACAACATGGCACGATTGACGTCCTTGATTGAAAGAAGGATGTTCTTCCGTATGCAAAGCCGGCGGCCAATTCTTGCAGTAGTAGGCAGAGAAGCCTTCCTCCCCTTTGTATAACGAGTGACGGCACAAAAGAACCCATCTTTCTCAGCAGCATTGACACACAGATGCCACACGGCAGAGTGGATGCTGCAGGTTTTAATCCCGCCAGCCGATTTCCGCTTGTGAACCAAGACGAGGCTCCTGTTGAAGAGCTCCTCCAGACGCTCCTCGGCCACATCCTCCGGAGATTCCGGCCCACTCCACTCCACGAATCCCTCAGAAATCCACAACCTAACGAGCTTTGAGGCGGGTATCTCGTGGTTCGAGGGGAGCAAGCCCATATACATGAAGAAGGCTTTCAGATGCTGAGGCATGCTGTCGTCGTTCAGAAGCTGCATGGCCGACGTCAGCCGGACATCGTTGCTTTCGTAAATAGCCGATATCGGGCCATCCGCGACTCTTTCCCAGTACGCGAGGCTCTTCTCGGCACCAAATAGCATGGTGCCAACGAGGACGATCGTGAGAGGTAGTCCGTGACAGTTCTCGGCAATTTCCTTGCCCACCTTTATGAGCTCGGGCGGGCACTCCTTCCCGTCGAACACGATGTTGCGCAGCAGATTCCAGCACTCCTCGATGCCCAAGAAGCTCGTCTCGTGAATGTTCCGGATAGATCCGGACGCGTGGAGAGCCACTTTCCTCAGCCGGGTCGTGAGCACGACCCGGCTCCCGTTGTCGTCGTTCGGGAACAGGCTCTTCAGGTCGTCCCACGCCTCGGTTTCGGTCAAGCCGTCGAGCACGATCAGGTATTTTCTGCCCTTGAGGTTCCGAAACATGAACTCCGTCAGCTGGCTGTAGCTGCTCTCCTGGCTGAACTTCGAAGCCGTGGGCCCCAGGAGCTCCGCAATGACTTCCCGCGGGTCGCGGCCCGGGCCCACATTTGCCCAGGCTCTGTAGTGGAAGAACCTCCCGATCGACGGGTCATGGAAAGCCCGGTCGACGAGTGTGGTCTTGCCGATGCCGGCCATCCCGACCACGGCCACCACATTCAGTCGGGAAGATTCCCCGACTAGCTTGCCTTTCAACCGGGACAGCTCGTTTTCGAGCCCGACAAGCAGCTTGTTCGTGCTGGCCACTAACGGGCCGGATCGTGGCCCGGTCATCTCTGGCCGTTGGTCAACCCGGTCGGATCCTATGGCAGTTAGCCTTTTCTCGATAGATTCCAATTCTTGCAACAGCACTTGCAATTTGTGAGTGAAGATCTCGGCAGCTGCAGGGGAGCTTTCCACGGATTCGGGCTGGAGGTAACGGGTCGAGACGTGGGATTCTACGGCGTCTTCTGCTTCGTACACCACTTCTCGGATTTGGGCTTCAAGCTCGTTTGCTCCGGTTTGGAATTTTTTTTGGAGAAGAACTAGCAAGGTGTGGGCCTTGGTGTGGAGACATTTAAAGAGTGATATTTCTTGATGAGAAGATGAAAATTGATCTGAAGGAAACTGGTCTAGAGTCTGGATAAGAGACACCACAGCAGCATAAGCCATCTGTAGCTCTTAAATCTGTTAGTGATTGTCGGGAATTTGGATAATCTGAAGCTGTAAAGTCCAGATTGAAGTTCTGAAGTCTCCTAAATTTTGTGTTCTTCACATCAAAGAAAAAGAGAACACACACATACAGCTCACATTGGTGATAATCTTTATGTTATAAACTATTAGAATATTAGCAAGTGTATAGGATCAATTACATTATTGTAAGTTAAATTTACACTGGCACGTGTTGTCTGAAGACTTGAAAGTACCATACCTATAATGGGCTCACAGTAATATACTAATATAATTGCAACTTGTGATTTATTTAGTCATTGTGAGTTCCAACCTTCTTCTTTTGATATTTAGAAGAAGTTGACTATTCTTTACTTGAAACCATTGTGAAGTTTATTGACAGAGATGGCGTATGGTGCGGTGAGACTTGCTGGAAAACGTGTCACAGCTGCTGACACCACATGTCGATCTCGTCAATGCTGCTGACCTCCAACTGCTGAAGAACGATCTCATCTCGTTTGGAACTTTTCTTGAGCCTGTGTCCAGTGTCGGAAAAAGGAACACACCTGAGGGAAGTTACAAACCTAATGCTTATACACTACGAGGAACTAACTTTAGCATGGGTCGGTACGGTTCAGAGATTGAGAAATCTCGAGAACCGTGCCAAATTCAGAGAGCATTAAATTCGATTTCCAGAATCGTATCAAAAAATCGGAACGGTTCGGTTCGGAGGTTTTTATTTTTCGGTTCAATTCGGTTTGGTATTTGGGACTATCGGAACGGTTCGATTCAGTTCGGATCTTCAGAGATTTCTTATTTAAAAAAAAAAAATTGAATGACTAACTAGTTATATTTTAATTTTTATGTGCTTTAAAAAAATAATATTCATCAATATTTCATCATATTGAAGATTTTATTTTGAAATCAATTTTAGAAGTAACTCTAAAGTTTAGTTATTAACTTTTATATGCTTTAAAAAACCAATATTCAATACTTCCTCGTATCAAAGATTTTATTTTGAAATCAACTTTAGTCTCTAAAATTTTAGTTAAGACTAAATTTGTACAACTAATATTGAAAATTTAAAATTTAAATAAAATATAATATAGTTTTTTCTAAAAAAATATTCTTTAACCTTTCATACCATTATAAATAATTGTTTATAACAGGAAAAGTTCAATTGTAGATCAAGTATTACTAAGCATGAAATTTAAGTGAAATTTAATTGTTAGTACTATATTTTATTTGCATTTTAAAAAATCTCAAATTATATAGGATCAAAGTTGACATAAAATATATTAATAACACACATCTAATGTTATAATTTAGTTCTTAATTTCGATTCTTCAGTTCGGTACAATATGGGACGGTTCGGTTCGGTTCTGGGTACGGATATTTGTGAAATCTTTAGAACCGTACCAATTATTTTTTCAGTTCAGTTCGGTTCAGAGAAAGTCAAACAGTCAACGATTATTTTTCAGTTCAGAGTGATTTCGGTTCGGTTTTTGAAACGGTTCAAAATACTACGAGTCTCATGCTCAACCCTACTAGAAATGCTGCCCCAAGGGCTTGCAAATGTACTATGCCTTAAGGCAATGGTCTTGCACTGTATGAGTAAATTAGTTGTGGCTTCCACTCGAAAATCTAGCAACAAATTTTACAAAACAGAAGCTTCTGATATTTCATCAGTATGAGCGATTTTCGGCATCTGGATCAAGCAAACATGTTGTATTTTTTTAATCTATGATAGTGGTATTATTTGTTGTTAGTTTTTGCAAGAAACATGTCCAAAAAAGTATTGGAATAGCGGAAGGAAAAACGACGAAGATTAGGTGCACAATAGGCTACACGACTCGTGTGATGTGGTCCATAGGCCACACGAGTCATTTGGCGGGGCAAAATAAGATTTTAGCTACGACTTGTTTACACGATTCTTGTGATAAGTGATATTAAGTTACACGAGTCGTGTGAGCCTGGAAAGGCTTTCCAGGCTGCGAAATTTGAAAATAAGAGCCATACGACTCGTGTGGCTATGACCATTAAGTCACACAAGTCGAGTGATGTAAAGTCCAGCCCGTGAGGAATAAGGATTTTAATGCGATTTCTTCCTTTTTTCAACATATACTCGACCTACACTACAAAAGGGGACCTAAGGAATATGGTCAGGGGACATTTACCAATTTTGGAGGCCATGAAAAAGCTCAAGACACACGAATGATCTGAAGGAGTCAAGATTGAAGATTGAGAACTATACGACAACAATAGTTCTTCTTTATTTTCTCTTTTTATTCTTCATTGAACTTGTGAATTTATTTATTTCGACATTTGAGAATATGTTTCGTAGCTAAACCTTTTTGAGATTCTAGGATTTGTGAGTAGTCGGATTATTTTATGAAGAGTTTTATTTATTAATTTCGATTTACCTTCATTTGTTAATTTTGTGCTTATATTTATTTTGTGAATATAGGGCTCGTATTTATGCATATTTGTGATTGACTTGACACCAAGAGGACATAATCGATTTCTATAATTCAAAGATTGATAACCTAGGAGACTATAGAATCTTGCGAGAGAATTAGAATCTCAGGAACCAAGGGAGTTAATTGTTCATCTTGAAACAGAGAAAATATATATAACAATTAACCAATGATATAACTTGTTCAAGAGAGATGTTAGGTTACTTTAACGATTATTGATAAAATATACATCAAAAAAATAACTTATTTTATTAAATAATTTTAAATTTTAATTTTATTGTTGCTCTAAGCTAAACTCTTGAGATAGCACAGCAAAGAAAGTATTAGCTTCACTCGTTCTTACTTATTCCAAGTATTAGCTTCACTCGTTCTTACTTATTCCAAGTATTAGCTTCACCCGCTATTATTAAAATTCTTAATCATCCTGTTGCTATATGAAACGAAACAGGCCGTGCGTGCTAGAAAAGCCCGAGAATTCAGCACCGTACTGCCAGGGAGTCCCATTGAAACGCGGGACATAAACTCATATATAGATTTTATTTTGTATTAATATATTTTATGTAGATTATAATATGGGGCGAACAAAATTAAATTTTAACATCTATAATAATATAAAGAGGTTGTTGGAAAAAAAAGAAATTATAGTAAGTTTGAGTAAAAAAATAAATGGTTTGACTTACTATTAGTGGAAATATCGGAAAAACACATGTAAATCTTTGGAAATCAATTTTAACTGAGATATCCCAAAAAAATTGATGATTCTTATGGTAACACATTTGGAGATTCTTATAGCAAAATTTAATTCATTTTAAATATTAATCCCATAGAAATATTTTTGTATTGGTAACAAATTTGAAAATTTTTGTGCCAGAAAATTGAGATTTTGAATTGATATATCCCAACTATTACGGATTTTTTTTCCATTCAAATTAATGTTGTATTATCAAACAAAAAATTATTACCAGAATAATAGATGTTATACTAAATATTGATAAACTTCAATCCTCCATAAATAATTTATATTTATGAATTTTGTGTGTAAATAACTAAATATATTAATTTTCTTTTCGTAAATCTATTACTATATAATAGAGAGAGGGATTTACTTGACATAATATTGAAATTCCCGCTTAAAATTTTTAAAATTAACATTCGCGCAGGGACCCACTGATTCTCGACCGCCGACATTCACAACCAAAACCGGTTTCTTTATC